CCCTTACTTGGACCGAGAAGAAACTACGGTAATATTTTTATTTGAAAATGCTAATTTTTGATTTTATTATTTTTATTCAGGATGAGCCCGTACGTAGCGAGAACTCAATCGCAATTGAGGAAAATCCACTTAAGGAATTAAAACTGATGCGCCGCCAGATTGGTAAGTTCTGTTCTCTTCCTTTTTCCGCTCCTCACTGCAATACCTTTTTGGCTCTGGGAAAAGCGCAAGAGCCTGAAAGTAACTGAAGGGAGACTCTGCGCTATCTCTAGGCCATTGCGGGGCCGCGAATACTGTTCCTTGGGGAGACTACGTGATTGGTTTCTGAACTCTACACTTAATGGATGAATACTAGTCATTCTGTTTCTGATGAACGACTGAACTCCATTTAGGTCGTATTTCTTCTAGACTTTTCCAATTGGAAGAAGAACTAGAACAGCGTCGATTCAGAGATAAGGTAAGTATTACACTGAGGCTGCGTTCATACTTTGCGTCAGCGTCCATCAGCGACCACATGCATTCGAGCGTATGCCCGCGCCAGGAACTAGGAAAGGGTGTCTAGCGAACACCGGCGTCCATCAGCGTCCAGGAGTGGAAGGTGGGGAAGGAGGAACAGCAGACAGCTGGATTAGGCGTCGTGAAATTGCAGCGTGTGCAACCGCACCGTGCAACTGCCAAAGCACGGAATCATGCAATCTTGATGTGCAGTGTAGTGCAGTCGTACGGTGCGGTTGCGCACGCCGCAATTTCATGACGCCTAATCCAGTTTTCTGCTCCCCTCCTTCTTCCCCACACTGTCCACTTCTGGAACGCTGGAAGACGCCGGTGTTCGCTAGACCTATATCCATATTTTGATAGTCGCTCGCGCTGGCATACTCTTAAAACGCTGGTGTTAGCTGGTGGACGCTAACAGAAAAGTATGAACGCAGCGTGGTGATATTTGAGGATTAAATTGAAGATTAGTGAATACTGCAGCTTTCCTTCACGGCTCTGCTTGGTATGGCAGCCGTTCTGCTGATGGCGTTGTTAAAAAGGTGATAATCTGCTCAAGAACCAGCTGATTCTGATGGTCGACCTCTTGATTTACTCACACATTGATTATTCGGTTATAACATTCTTTTTAGTTTCATCTTTCACTTCTAGTCGAATTCCATGAGGGTGCTAGTTTTGTTTCTACGGCTGTCGTTCTACCTGGTGTGGGGCTGGTTTTGTGATGTCCCTGATTTTGATTCTCTGTGTAGTTATTGGTGATTTTTCCAAGTAATAGTTCCTTCACTCAAGCAAACCAAGTAGCGACTAACTTTTCCTTGATTCT